TGTGAGAGGCATATGAGACTGCAGAGCAATCCACATGTCAGTAATACTCAGTTCAATGCCTCCTTTTTGCCAGATCTGGGCAGTGCTTTGCCACTGCCTGGCTAAAAGTGAAAATGGCTCATTAGGGTGGAAAAGACAGGCCTGATGCTTGTTGACAGGGGAAGTAACACGCACAGTGACTGGCGGTTGAGTCTGCTCTATCTGCTGCAGGACTGTCCAGGTTCATGCTCTGTGGGTAATTTTGAGCTCCCAAGTGGCTTTGGATTCCCAGGTAGCACTGATGGCTCATTTTGCTGCAGATTACTAAGAGGCTGCGGTGTTCCTTGCTGCCATAGACTTCACCCAGCCAGCATGGCCCTTATCCCCAAAGGCTGGACTACAACTTTACTATGCTCGAAGACCATTCAGGAGCTTTAGCTAGTGCAGAACATGGGATCCTGCCAGTTTAGTGGAGTGAATTAGTGTAAGCACACTGCACCGGTGCTAGCATCGCATCTGCTTCCAGGGGCAGTTCAAGGTGTTGGTTCTAGGAGCATGGGTGGGAGAGGGTGAGGAGGGCAAGAGGCAGGAAAGCCTATTTCAGTATAACAACTTAGAATAATACTTTACCATGATCTAGCCCCTTTCTTCCAAGGAGCTCAACGCATTTTACAAATTTGAATTACATCTCAAAGGCCCTGTTGGAATTAGGTATTATACCTTCTTTACTGGGAGGAGAGGGGGAATGTTATATGGAAATTAAGTGCTTTGCCTGAATGTACCCGGTGAGTGAGAGCATTCCTGCCCTCCAGCCCTGAAGTTTATTTAGCCCTGGATATGCTTTAGCCTAAAAACCAGAACACACACACAATTTATCTAACTAATCTAGCAAATCCTGAGGGGTTTGGTTAGTTTTGACTCCCTTCATTAGGGGCATGGTTGCATTTGCTACAAAAATACAAAGAATTGTTTTCAGAACAGGTCAGTGCCCCCAGTAGGAGCAGCTATCCCCAAGCCTGGGTTTTTGGCTGGTAGGATTAAGAAGCAGCAACTGAGGTTTTGAATACATTTGGCCTTGGAGTGTTTGCGGCATGCTCTGCCTTAGGAGAGGCTCTCAGAGGAGTGCTGTGTCTCTCAACTGGTATATTGATCATCTTGGAGAGGCTTATGATTATGACTCACCTGGCCTTTCAGCCCATTGTTATTTAAATTCTTTCACATTAGGAGGCAAACAATGGATGTTGATTGTTGGAAAAGTATTGATTCATCTGTCACACTGGCTCCCGGCCTGTTCTCTGCAATATCTGTCTGTCTCCTTCATCCATCTATGTCTATAGACTCCAGCTTTATCCGGACAGTGGTACGAGGTCCAGTGCAGGGGCCTGGGTGCTGCTAGTTGGACCGGTTAGTCAGCCTCACAGTTATGCAATCAACACACAGGCTTCGGTGAGCTCCATGCCCCTAATAGCCCTCTACTCAGCATCAGATTCCAGTCCCTCTCCCCAGCACAGCACCCTGGCTCTTCACTCTGTCCACATCTGCTGGACATGCTGTGACCCCAATGCCAACTAGCAGAGGGCACGCCCTACCATAACTCACTTGAGGCCTGACATACTCATTGCCCCAACTCACTGTTGCCAGAATTTGTATCTAAAAGGTGTCATGTAAGGTACCATATGCAAACTGGTGACACACTAGTCATTAATATTATTGTGCGATGCATGTACAGGTGATGTACAAAATATTATAGATGTGTACTGGAAATATGTTCCTAAAATGTCTTTGGCAGGCAATGAGTATGCCTTAGACAAAGGAATGTTGTTTTGCCTGCTTGACTGTGTCTCCAAATGTAAATTAAGCAAAGTGACACCAAAGACAATGAAAACACATTTACATGGAAGGTAAACAAGGGCCATCAGGCGAGCAGGTGGGGGAGATGGCTACTTAGCAATCACAACAGGGAATGGAAGTTGCACCCCAAGAAGCATTCCTGCCTCTTGTAACAGGGTCAGTGAGCCTTGGGAGATTTAAGCAGACACAGAATGCTGTTTTGGTATCTCTCACTGGGGAGACAAAAGGGGCCAGAGCGCTTGGAATTGGAGAAAGGTGGATCCTTCAGCCAAGGGGGTTGAAGTCCCTGGGAACTGACTGTTGGTGAGAAACCTGCTCAGGCAAAGATTGTAACTTGCTGAAATTAAGATTTAGTCACTGATCTTTCCTAGCTCTTTCACTCTTTCTTGAAGGTACTTAACAAATATTCTTTGTTAATAAACATTCTTGTTTCATTACAAAACCATCTCAGGGTTGTGTAATAAACTACAGGGTGGGTCTCTGTCTCTCTAGATGCAGCAAACTTATGAGTGTCCAGCGAGAGGGACATGGCAGGGAGACGTCTCTGAGGAACTCGGGAGTTAGGGTGCACTGATGGGTATCTGCAAGGCAAGGTTTGGACTGGCAGAGTCCTCAAGAGAGTTTGCTGGCAGAGCAGTTGAGCGGGTGTATTGGGGAGGGCTCATAGTTGTGAGTGACCTGAACAAGATGTCAGATATGCCATCACCTGTCACTATCTCCCTTTCCCCAAATTCAGTTACACGGTATGTATTTGATCTGGGAGGGAGGAGAGAATGTGCTTTGTAAAAAATCACTTTAGACTCAAAGGGCCGACATAAGCAAGTGTCCATGGGGAGGACATTCACTGCATTTGGAACATTGCAAAATAATACTGCCTTGACAAACCTAAATGTTGGAAATACCATTCAGCAGAGGAAGACAATAAGAAGAGACCATGGCTGGAGAGAAATTCCATATATTCCATCACTGCTACAGTACTGGGAGCAAATCCTGAAATCCTTCCTCGCCTTGCAGTTGTTACACAGACAAGTTACTGTAACTAAGTGCTGTAGTTAACACAAGGATGTATAGGAGGACAGATGGGCCACAGAAGTAAAAGGTTTGAGAGCCATTTGTACATGGGAAAGTTCTGACCCCTTGTGGCTGAAGCTGTATTGACAGACTGAGCTACAGCAAGGACTGGACTGAAGTCAGGCATGGATGTTGTATGGCTGGATGGGTACGAAAGAGATAATGTCTGGATCTGCATCAGAAGCCATGGAGAAGAAGAGGATTACAGTACAAGGAAAAGTGAAGACAGGTTTATCTGTTATAACTTCACTCACTAGAATACTCCGTTACCACCAGTTTTTTGATTTGGAACTGATTTTTCCCGGTGGTGTTCTAGATATAATAATAATTTTCTCTTATGCATATTTCTTTCATAGATATTAAAGTGCTTTACAAAAACAGCTAAACATTATTATTCCTATTTACAGGAAAACTGAGACAGTGAGCTGGTAAATGACTTGCCCAAGGTCACACCAAGTCAGCGTCAAAGCCAGGACTATACCCCACATCTCCTGACTCCTCTGTAGGCTGCTCAGTGCACTAGACCACAGCTGCTCAATTCCATTAGCCCAACGGAGTCACCAAAAGAGTAAAAAAATATGAGCACAAACTTTACACAGCAATATTTACAAAGTAATAGTGATAATATCACAAATATAAATAGTTCCTTTCATCCCAAAGAATCCCAGAGTGCTTTATAAACAGACAGAAGCCTCTTGACCCACCAGCAACATGCAGCCACCTCGGGGAGCAAATGTTGGTAGCTGTTTAATAGCACACACTCATTCTACACACACATTTAGGATAGGAAATGAAGACGCATGATCTAGTTATCTGAAACTATAGGGGCAATTTTGGAAGGCAGAATGCAATTACCCAAAGTAACATGTACTTGAACGGTCTCCCATTTAGATACTGACTATGCCTAACTCTCCTTAGTCTAGGAGAGCTAACAAATTACACCATCAAAGGGAATAATTCTCTTTCCTGCTTCATAGCAAGATCTAAATGCATGCAACATTTTGAAAGAATTTAACTTAATACTGTAAATAACTTCATGCCTTGATCCAATAGCTGGTTAAATATTAGAGATTGAACCACTCTAATCCGGCACTCCCTGGTCTGGCAACATCCGTGGTCCGGCATAAGGGCCAACTCCCTGGGTGCTCTGGGGCCTAAGCCATCTGACTCCAGGCGGTGGGTGCCCGTTCACAGATCGCCAAGCAGAGCTAGGTGCCACCCTGCTCCCTGGATTAGGCACCCATCTGCAAGAGAGGGGCAGGGCTTAGCATACACCTCTGATTGGCATCTCCTATTGGCTGGCTTCAGCAGCTCCCTGCTAAAAGTGCTGTTTTTTGTGGACCCCATTCGTATGTGCCTCTCTCTTGCCATTCATTGTACAGGGAGCCTAGCTGCTTAACTTGGCTTTGTGGATCACAATGTTGTTCCTGGATTTTCTAGGTGCCATGACCCTCAACGTTGCAATGCCTAAGTGCCTTTGTGGATCACACCCCCTAAGTGCCTAAGTGACTTTTAAAAATGGGACGTAGCCACCTAAATCACGTAGGCCTCAGTGCTGAGCAGAGAAATGCCTAAATACCACTGAAAATCTGGGCCTTGGCCTCTTTGTATCTCAGTTTCCCCATCTATAAAGGAGGGATAATCACAAAGTGTTTACCTATTGGGATATTTTGAGAGTTAATTAATCAATCTCTGTCAGGTGTACTGAGCTCCTCAAATGAAATGAGCTCTAGAAAAGCAGAGAACACATAATTTAATACAAAAATCTGCACCCACTTCACAACCATGATCAGTGGCCAGTTTGCAATTTTACAATAGGTGCTTGGAAAGTATTTGGATCCAAACATCTAGCTCGATAAATTCAGACATTTACCACTAGATGTCACCTCTTCCCAGCAAATTTTGTCTGGGCCAAGGAACTGGATTAAGGGTTGAGAATGAAACATAAATAAGTGGAACAGATGGTCTAGTAACAGCTCCTACTGTTTTTATGAATGGAGGCCGTCTTTGGATGACATCACTGCCTCTTGACTCCACCCTTACTCTACAGCTTTCTTGTACATTTCAGGTGCTTCTGCTTTGCAAGGGGCTAATGCACTGGAGGCTGTTGAGCTTGAAACAGGAAAGCAGCATAAGCAGACAGCACACTGGTAAAGGAACAGCAGCTCATCATCTGTAAGAGTCAGCAGAGCCTTGGGGTGGTGAGTAGCAAAGAGTTATTAAAGTGCTACTGTTAGTGGCTGGAAAATCTCTGTATTTTTTTCTCCCTGTGGAACCGAAATTGTGTTTCCATTTACATTGGGACAGATCCAGTGTAACTCCCTCAAAGTCAGTGGAGTTATGTCAGGGTTAACCCACTGTAACTGAGCACACAGCTGGCCTCTACATCTGCAAAACGGCTTCTGACTGTGACTTATCCTTTCCTAACTCAAAGAGCAAACAGAGATTACTCTCTCACTCCTGTTCCATATTATGTGATGGGGAAGTCTCTGGTAAGCCTATTTGTCATCATTATAAATGCCTTACTTTGGATTCAGCAGATTTTATTACCAGGATAAGGCTTTGTATATTCCATGCTGGTAATTTCTATGGCTTCTTTACTCTGACCATTTAATTTTCCACCAATAAATCTTAACAATCTGAAATTAGTTTATGGATCACATTTTCACTGAAGGACTGTTCCATTCAGAGGACTGTTCCACTGACCACAGGCTACTCTGTTGGATTCCCCTCCCCCAAAAAAGAAAGTAAAAATGACTAAATAAATCTTTGTTTTCCATTTGACGTTGTCTGACAGCACTAATGTTTAAACAAAAAAATTACCACTAAGTCCCCTGAATGAGTTAAACCCTCTCCAGGGCAAAGTTCTGCTCCTTTAAACCAGCTGTCGCACCTCCCTCTCTGCAACGCCTCTACTCCCAGAAACTCAGGACATGCAATGTAGCAGGCAGAAAAGAAACAGACCCTGAGAAATGTAAAGTGCTCTCTGAAAGAATCATTTAACTCACGCTCTTTAGGTTTCTAAATATTTCAGTACTTGTGTTATTGATGACTGGGGAGCCTGGGCAGACAAAACCAATACTGCCTTTCGTAAGGGAGGGATGTTTCAACATTGTGTTTTTGTAAGATTTCATTTGAACAATGGACCAATATAATAATTAATTACTTGCACTTATATGTTTATAGATAGAAAAGGATCCCAAAGCACTTTGCAAATTTAAACGAAAACTGTGTACCCAGAGATTATTTACCCACCCCTGATATGAGACCCCCTGCTGGGGTGGAGCACAGCAGTGGTCTGATGGTACTGTATTCAGAAATGCTACACAGCCGTCTGGGATATTGCTTAAAAGATACCAAGTCCAATGGAAACTGTAGGGGGATTGTCAGTCGGCAGAATATAGCTGGCCAGAAATCTCAGGCTGTTGCCAGGGCTCAGCTTAGTTTGCGATCTCTCGGTGTTGTATCACTGCATGGGTGTGTGGCTGGAATCTAGCTGGCTGCTGGTGAGCAGCATGGAATCTTTGTTGAGCTAGGAGCCAGCATAGCCTTGTTGCTAGCTTAGTGTCCAGAGAGGTCATGTTATCATGGCCCAGAAAGGATAGCAGGAGTTACACACACATTTGAGACACAGAAATATAGGCTGGGACATTCAAAGGGGCCCAAATCCCATTAACTAACTCCCTTAGGCCCCTTGAAGTTCCACCCACAGGACTTTAGAGCAGAGATCAGACTTTGTCAGATTTTCCTACAGGCCAGGTTTATTCAATCCATTAAAGAAATAAATGAGAGTGTGTATACAGGTTGTAGAGCCTTGCTTATTGTCTGTAGCTATTCCTTATTGATCTAACTTTAGTGAAAGCATCGCAGAGATACAAACACAGTTATTATTCATTAGCTCGAGATGGGGGAATGTGGCGGACCAGGAGTTTCAGTTCCATTAGAAACACTAGGCCAAATACCCTGCTCTAATTTCATTGCAGCCAGTGGAGATGAGAGAGAGTTGAGTTGAGCAGGGAACCTGTAAAGATATAAAACTGGCCTGCAAGCCTTCTCCAAAATGCCACAGCCTGTCCTGTTCATGGAGGTGGCTGAACCATCCCTGTTCTGTACATGAGAGGACTTCAGGCTACAGGGCTGTCCATTGTACTCCTTTCGCCAGCACCAAGCTCACACATAAAGAATAACAGCTGAGCTCATTAGAGCAGGAGCCACAACAGAGCTCCCTAGGAATGGTCTTCTCTGCACAGAAAGCAGGGACGAGAGCCAACGGGATGCACTTATTGCCGGATACTAAAGCAGGCGAGTGCTCCTGGCCTCCTCACTTCCATCCGTGCTCCTGTGACACAATCTCCAGGATTGTTTACAGCGAGAAGGAAGATTTATTGCCAATCTTGGCTACTGCCCCATGGTAGCTGCCTCTTCCTCTAGAAACGGCCCGTCCCACACTCTTGTTGGGATTACAGCGGGGACCTCTCCGGGGAGTGCAGAACGACCAGTGCATTTACAAAACCTGGGATCCCAGGCACA